TCTATATGCCTGTTCTTGTCCCATACCAGGCTGTTTTGATTATTGTAGCCTTATGACAAATTTTAAAGCCTGGGAGTGTGATAACACCACTTTGTTTATTTTGCTGAGGATTGATTAGGCTATTTGTGGCCATTTATGTTTCCATATGAATTTCTGTATTGTCATTTTCAGGTCTTAGAAGAATGATGTTGGTAATTGAATGAGTATTGTGTTGAATCTGTAGATTGCCTTGGGTAGGATGGACAATTCAATAACATTGATTCTTCCTCCAAGTTACTCAAATGTACTAAAAGGAAAAAACAGACAGCCACTTTAAAAAGTGGGCAAAAGACATGAATAGACACTTCTCAAAAGAAGACATAACAACCAACAGACATGCTAAAAGATGAAAAAAAGCTCAGCCTCACTTATCATCAGAGAAATTCAAATCAAATCCAACTAACTCCAGTAAGATACCAACTAACTCCAGTAAGAATGTTCATCATTAATAAAACAAAAAGCAACAGATGCTGACAAGAATGCAGAGAAAAAGGAATGCTTCTACACTGTTGGTGGGAGTGCAAACTAGTTCAACCTCTATGGAAAATAATGTGGCAATTTTTAAAAGAACTAGAAATTGACCTTCCATATGACCCAGCTATCCCACTTCTGGGAATACACCCTGAGGAACTAAAATCATGCTATGGAAAATATACCTGAGCACACATGTTTTTTGCAGCACAATTCACAATAGAAAAAATATGGAAACAAATGTGCTGCCCATTGAAAGTGGACTAGATAAAATAAATGTGGTACATATACATGATGGAATATTATGCAGCCATAAAGAAAGACAAAATTAGCCGGGCTCAGTGGCTCAGCCTGTAATCCCACGCTTTGGGAGGCTGAGGTAAATGGATTGCCTGAGTCCACGGGTTTGAGACCCGCCTGGGCAACTTGGTGAGACCTCATCTCTACAATAAATCAAAAACTTAGCTGGGTGTGGTAGTGTGCGCCTGTAGTTCCAGCTACTTGGAAGGCTGAGGCGGAAGGATCACCGGAGCCCAGCAGGTCGAGGCTGCGGTGGCCAGGAGCGGCCACTGCACTCCAGTCTGGGCAACAGAGTAAGACTCCGACTCAAAAAAGAAAGACAAAATTATGAACTTTGCAACAACTTGAATGGATTTATAGTCTATCATACTGAGTGATCTATCACAGAAACAAGGAACTGAGTACCATGTTCTCACTCATAAGTGAACCCTCAACACCTATCATAATACTACAAGAAAGGAATTGGTAGTAGTGGGACACTGCCAAGAGAGGGAAGGAGGGGAGGACACAACATCAAGAAGCATGCATGATCCCATTCCAGACAAACTTTACCTGTACGTAAGCAAATGGACCAAATTCTGACTTGTACCCCATATCTTTAAAGTAAAAAAAAATTTAAAAGAAAGTTATTTAAGATACCCTAAATGCTACTAAATGATGCTTCTACTAGCTTTATTACTATCCATACTTCCTATGTCTATGTCTGACTTTATTTTACTAATTATTATAAAGTTAATACATGCTTATTAAAGAAAATCAAGATTTGACTGAAATGTGCTAAATATCCCATATCCCCAACCACAGAACTTTTCTTACCCTTTGCAAGAGATAATTCCTAATAATTTTGAATTATATTTTCATTATCGGTACAAACTATGCAACTTATATTTCTTATTTATGTTTTGGGAATTCAAATAACTCATAAATTGACCAGGTAAAAAGTAAAAGGTTGTCATTCACAGATATCTCTTTTCATTTCCTTATCTGCTGTCACTGTCACTATGCATCTTTTCTTCGACTTCCTTAAGATGCCAAAATCATTGTAGTGGCATCTATCGAAATATATAAACTTACATTAATTTTGAAAAATTTTTGAAATTTTTTGGAGTGTAGTTTAAATTAACTATCTAGCTGTTCACTCTGCAAGAAGTCATAATTAAGGATTGTGTTAGTATGCCAGTGGTACCCAGGAAATAGAATCAAATGTGTAAGATCTAATTAAGGTTGAATCTATAACTAGGTCCTTAACTCTGGCTGCATGTGACCCTAATCTGGAAAGCTTGTAAAGACGTATGCATATACAGACACACATACACGTGTATATATACACACACACACACACACAAACACACACACACACATGCCCAGGGTATTAGCACTGAGTTTTGTATGTCCTATGCCAACTATACAAAAGAAAAAATGAGATAAATGGGCAAAAATTTTAGGCAAATAGACATGATTTTCACAAAAACAGATACTTTAGTGCTCTAGAGGTGAAGTAAGAATTATGATTGGGCAGTGCCATACAGAATAAAGGTACCCTTTCTTATCAAACTTTCAGTTAAAAATTCTGACCAGTGGAATGGAATGTAACGTTCTAGAAGGGTCTAGTTATCCAAATAGGTGTGGAATTAAGCAATGTTCTGGGACACATTAGTCTAGGAAAATGCCCTGGAAACAACAACAACAAACAAACAAAAACAGCAACAAATGGGAAAGGGAACAGTTCTGTGGTCTAATATGTTTGAGATGTGCTGAATAACTCTCCCTGCCATGGGTGATACACTACACATCAGCAAGTGACATCTGAGAGGCCCTGTGATGGAGAAACCTGTTGAAGTATGTTTTGTTTTGTTTTTAAATCCAGTCTTTCTTAAATATAAATATCCAGCAAATATTTTATTGAAAACCATCTTGAGCCAAGCATTGTTCGGGTATTATGAATGAAAATAAATAAAGTTTCTTGCTTTGGTGGGGGACATCTTATATCAGGATAAGGTCAATAATAGGTAAATAGTCACCAACTGAGAGAAGACCACAATGCCCCACCCAAAAATAATGAGAAATGTGGAGAAAATAAAACAGGAAGATAAGATGTGGTGAGTGCTAGGTAAGCAACTTTAGAAACTGTGATTTTAGCCGGGCTTGGTGGCTCAGCCTGTAATCCTGCACTTTGGGAGGCTGAGGTGAGTGGATTGCCTGAATCCACGGGTTCGAGACCCGCCTGGGCAACTTGGCGAGACCTCATCTCTACAATAAATAAAAAACTAGCTGGGTGTGGTAGTGCGTGCCTGTAGTTCCAGCTACTTGGAAGGCTGAGGTGGAAGTATCGCTGGAGCCCAGCAGGTAGACGTTGTGGTGGCCATGAGCATGCCACTGCACTCCAGTCTGGGTGACAGAGTGAGACTACAACTCAAAAAAAAAAAAAAGAAAAAAAAAAAAGAAAAAAGAAACTGTGATTTAAAAGTCCTGTCTTGGCCATAATATTTTGACCAACATCTGAAATGACAAGAGGAGCGGGCTGTGCAAAGATCTAAGGAAGGAACTTTCAGAGCAAAATCAACTGCTGGTACAAAGGTCTTATGCAGGAGTGAGCTTGACTTTTTCAAGGAGGTCTAATGTGGCTAAAGCATAATGGAGAATACTGTGTATGTTTGGATAAGAAGCATGGATTTTGTTCTAAGTGATAAAGGAAGCAGTGGGGCTCCATAGTTTACCCTTAAAAGTCTTACTGCTCTGAGGGGCAGATATTGGATTTGCTGGTGAAGGTTGTGGCAGGAACAAGAGAATAGACAGACCAGGAAGAGGCTATAAAGCAGTTCTAGTGAGAGAGAGAATCTTTTGTTGAACTGGATGGTCATAGTTGAGATGAGGAGAAATGCTCGGATTTTTATATAATTTGGAGGTTGTGGTGTATTGAGATGAGCCACAGATGTGGCTGTGGTGTATTGAGCCTAAAAATTTGGTATATGGGGGCATTGATAGGGTGGAGGCAGGAGGGAGACGATTGACAAGGGGAATCAAATTATTTAGGGTATAAAGCATCCAATATTTCTTGAATGTATTAGAAAATATTTTGGTGAATACTAGTAAAGGCAGATGTGTGAGGCAGACAAAAAAAGCAGGCAAATGAACAGACTCCCTGGGTATTGGTGTTTCTAATGTATTTGCCTGTACCTTGTGTAATCTACCTGAGGTTGACCTTATTTGTTGGTCCAGTCATGGAAGAGGTGGAGGAGGAGAGGGGGATGAAGAAGGGTAGAAGGAGAAGAAAGAGAAGGATAAAAAAAGAAAAAGGATAAAAAGGCGGAGGAGGAGGAGGAGGAGGAGAAAGTGGAGGAAGAAGGATGGTTATGACATTGAGGAGGGGGAGAAATAAAAATACAATGTAAATTATTGAGAACAACTTCTGCTTCATGCTGATTTCTCCATATATAAAGTCTTATAATGTGACGTATAGGAGAAAATAAAAGTTGCTTCGATGTTGAGTGCTGTAGTATGTGGGTTTTACAAGTGATCTATGTGTTAGGCAGATGCATCTGATATTGTGAAAGAAATGTAGCTCCTGTTTTAACCATTTAGGAGTTTTACAAACACTAGAGGTCTTTTTGTTTGCTTGTTTGTTTCTCCTTTTCTTATCTTTAATTTCCTCATCTATACTTTGACTGCTGGTTGAGCATCATTCCGAAGATCTCTCTAGCTTTCAAATTTTGAAGTCTGTAAGACTAATTACGGGTCATTCTAAATTATTACTGCTTCCAATTCCCCTTAATATTTTTGAATGTGTGTATCCAGCGGTGTGTCAATGAACTTTAATAACCTGTTATCAGAGTGTAATTCCAATCTGAATGTTGGGTGATACTTTTCTTTATCTTACTGAGTACGATGATAAAGTAAAACAATTGAAATGCATCATAATTTTACTCATTCATCAATGATGTGAGCCACTTATTTGTTTAATGGGAACAGTGGAATTTAAACTCCTCTTAATAAAAAGAAAAGTTTAGGCAATAGTAACTTCTATTACTGGAGAGACATTGTGACATTAACTGCTAATGTGATTTTCTCAAAGAAGATAAAAACTTTCATAGTAAAGATCAAGTTATACATTACTCATAGACATTGTAGGTGACACAATGAAACAGATATTCTCCAGATACGTTGATTTTCTTTTTTCCCTTTTCTTCTAGGGATTTTTAGGAAATGCAAATGCAGACAGTGTTGTGTATTATAGACTCCAGCCTTCTGTCAAAGCCAGATTTCTGCGCTTCCTCCCTTTGGAATGGAACCCCAAGGGCAGAATTGGAATGCGAATCGAGGTGTTTGGATGTGCATATAGTAAGTGTTTGTTTATCCAACACACTGACATAGTTATCAAAGGAGATGTTTTAAAAGCCAAACTGCAAACTGAAATGAACTTTTTAGCTGTGTAAAGATATAAAAATAGCAATGATTTTTGTGGTAAACTTTCTGCGTGTGTGCCTACACATGTCAATATTGACTTTAGTGTTTAACATTTCAATTTAGACACAGAAGAACTTTAAGATAGATAGGCATAGAAATAGATACATATTTGTAGATATATGTGAATGCATATATTCAAATCTAATATTATTACTAGAGCCTAACCTCCAAATATTAGAGCTTCTACCCATGGGTTATATTTGATGATGCTTCACTTAGATACCCTAAACTTAATAAAAGAGATGAGTGTTCCATTTAGTATAATCAGTCATCCGTTATGAAACCAAAAAAATGTTTTTCTCTCTAGCCTAAAAATAATGTGCTATGTAATTCACTTTTTAAAATGCTATGTCCTCAGTGTAAATTAATAGAAAAAGTAAAAACCTCTGCCAGAATATAAAATGTGTTTGAAATACTCTCACATAAAAAAAGATAGAAACCACAGATTTCACTTAGTCTCCTCTTAATGAAGCATTTTATTATATCTTTTTGTGTGTAAGGGACCTAAGAGTTATTGATAGTCCACCTCAAGCCACATCATCCTGTAAGATACTCTTTTATTATAGAACAATGAGTTAGTTAGTATGATCTACAATTACCAGATGAACAGTGTAAGATTTGAAGAGATTCAATAATTTACCCAAAGCCTCACAATTAATACATGAAAAAATCTAAGAAATAACTCAGGACTGTTCAATGTCACTATATCATTTTTCTTCTAGTCAACACTTTTTTTTCTTTGTAGCCACTAAAGCTTTTTTCACACATATTACTTTGTGATGTAAGCCAAATTGGGTTCTGGTTCACTCTATTTACATAAAAGGAAAATATGACATAAAGAGGTCAAGCAGCTTACTAAAGTTGTCTAAATTTTGTCAGACAGAAAGACCATGTTGTACAGATTGCACAGGTCTCCTGTTATATTTAGGGGTTCCCTGTACCCATCTCTGCCATCAACAAATATGTTCTTTCCAGGGTCTAGAAATAATAATAGAAGTATTAATATACCATTAATAATAATAGTAGTAGCAATAGAACTAGCATTAATAGGATTAATTTCTTTAACTCTAGAAATAGCAAATAGTGCTTGAGTGCTTATTATATGCTCTATAGTAAGTAGCTTATGATTACTCAAAATAGCCCAGATAAATATTACTAGGTAACTACTCCAGTTCCCCACCTTGCAAATGAGGGAGCTAAAGTTAAAGAAGTTGACTTGCTCAAGCTACAAAAATAAGAAGTAGCAGAGCTAGGTGTGCAGCAAAGACTACCGAACTCCAGAACTCCAGAACACAAGCTCATGTTCATACTCCTTCCAGCTGTTGGATCACAGAGATAAGTCAGTGGACAGCTAGATTCTCATTTTTTCCCAACTTAACTTCGCTTCCTAGTCATCATTGATCCAGCTTAGCTGCTCCATATTAGCTTCTCAATTCACAGTGATCACACTTGAATAAAATAATCCACTAAAAGAATTCCAATCTCAACAAAGATTCTGGAAACTACAACCTGGACCAGTGGGTTTAATTTCTCTTTGGCATGTAGAGTTTGGCATAGCTCATACCACAATGGTGGACAATTAGTGAAACAAATTTCAAAATGCCTCAAGCTTATAGTTACGTTCTCTACTTATTCAGAACATCCACCTTGTGAAATATTTGTCACAGCGTAATAATAGCTAACAGTTATTGTACGTGTAATATGATTGTTTGTATAACATACTAATTTAATCCTTAGAACCAACCATTTATTAGGGAGTAAACTGGGTCTTAGAAAAATTAAGCAATTTGTGCAGTATCACACACTTAGTATACATTCAGTCTAGGATGCAAAGTAAACATTAGTTTAATGAGACTATTAATGTTGTTTTGCTGAAACTATAGCACCACTTATAATACGAACATGATAGTGACCGCTGATATACTAGTTCTCTTGAGTTATCTGCTATGGTGTAACTAATAATAACTCAAATCTCCCCCGACTTTTCTTGATCTGCAACTCAGACCAAGAGTTGGAATGTTGTTTTTGCTGTGACTTAATTTTCTTAGGGTACACACATTGTTCACATCTTTGGTCAATCTTTTCATATCACCAGAAGATAACCCAAGAATGAACTGGAAGCCAGTACTTTATGGGAATGTTTTTTTTAATCAAATTGACTGCAATTCCTCAATTTCACCAAAATAATTACGCTTACATTCTTCACTGATTCATAACATCAACATTGCAAAATATTAATTCATTAAAACATGATATGATGTGGCCATCATTTGTTGACCAGTTAATATGTGTTAGAGACTATAAAGAACAGGCATTTTCTGATTTAGTCAACAACACAGTGAAGTACGCATGTGAATGTCATAATTTTATGCAGGAGTCAGAGGAGAAAATTGGATGCACATGTCTATCAAATGAACCATACACCTTGCTCTGGGTTGTCTGGCACAGAAATAGCTGGACTATTGTCTTTCCCCACCCTCAGAAGGAAGCGCTGCTATTGCTATCAGCACAAGCATCCAGCTGCAAGAGTCTGTCTGCAGTTCTGTTGAGTAGCAAAATTCTCTTGAGTAGCATCCAAGTTCAGATTGGACTTTCTCCAGACACACAAGGCCATTATCCTGCAATCACTATAAAAAGAAAGAAAAGCATTGTTGGGGAGTCGGCAGAGTCTCTTTCCTGGATCACAGTCACAAGACATCCATCCATGCTCAATGAAGTAGGTCTCTTCTGAGTTTGAGGAAGGCCTAGGGGATTGCACACAACCTGCCAGCCTCTCCTATGCCTTACCACCTGCACCAAGTTAATGTGACTCTTAGGTGGGCTTTGCCTGAGCCCTTCACTCAGGAGTGCTGCATCAGAGTGCTTCATTTCCCCTGTCATGGAAGAAAGCGAACCTTAGAGAAATTAGGAACTTTGTTCAGGATAACACAACTTTTATTAGATCAGATCTTGAGTTTAAAATCAGATCCATCACTTCGAAGTCAGTGCAATTGACGACTGTATGCATCATACATATATTCACATTTTAAGTATATATTGGTACTTGCTAAAAGAGATCTCTATTAGCTATTGGGTATGGGGAGAAATTATAAAATAATATACATTTTAAAAATGAAGATGGGCATGTGCAATGTTGGAAACATTGTACGAACAAGGCAGAATATTGTAGCACGAGTGTAGCATGTAAAGGATAAAATGATTGATAAACTGAGATTAGTATAAGGAAGTTTATGCCAGTAGGCTTTGAAACTAAGAGGCACAATTTTCACGTATAAATCTGACAGGGTAATTCCAATAGAAGGGGTTTGCCCCAGTCCAGCAAAGAAAAGGGGATTACCAGAATTATCTGTCTGTATTTGAGTATGGTCCTTCAGACTGAAATGAGGGCTAGTGATTGGAGAGTCAAATCTAAAGCCAGTAGCTCTTTAGAAAGTTTTTACTCTTGTTCGTGCAAGTGATAGTGGGACTCTAGACTAGAGAAACAGCAACCAGTATACAGGGAGGCAGGCAGATTCAAAATATGCGGAGGACATTGAGCGAAGAAACACAGTCGTTAGATGTGAAGTGACACTGAGTTATCAAATCTAAATAACTGTCTGGAAGGTGGCATCATTTACTGAGATGAGCACAGAAGGATAAATAGATTCTGGAAGGGAACAGAAAAAGTCACTAATCTTGTTGTTGACTCATTAAGGTCAAGAGCCTGTGAAATACTGAAGGTGGGAAGATTGGAATTCCAAACTCTCTGGGATGAAAGTATAGAATTAAAACCTATATAAATACAGTCACTAGTAGTAAATCAAAAAGTGTTTGACATAGCATGTAAATTCAAGGATAGCTTAATGAGACTATTGCACCACGATTAATAATAAAAATATAAAGGGCTATGCTTGAAGAACTACTCATGTCTTGAAAAATGGGAATGCATTTTTGCCATAATATAAGCAGGTCCTTTGTACTATTATTCAGGTAATGTAAATATCTTTTAGCAGATCCCTCTTGTCTCTAATACCTGTGTTTTCTGAAGGAACAGATGCAAGTTAATTCTGTGATTATTGCAGGAGAATGGCTATTGTGAGAACCACACATAATTTTATTGCCCTCTCCCCCAATGAGTTAGAGCAATAACTTGTTATGAAGGAACATCAAGTGAATGGAAAATCCATATCCAAGAGCATGTTTTACTTTTATGTTAGTAAACCAGAAGTTGTTTCCTGAGTAATGAGAGAAGTAGAAGCTAAATTTTGTGAGATCAAAGAGCAAGTATAACTTTCAGATATCTTGGCCATAGCAACTGTGAACATGTTTATAGGTCTAGAGAAGAGACGTATAGAAAGAAATACCAGTGGAAGAAAGAAAGCAAATGAAAAGAAAATATTTGACAGTAAAGAAACTTAACTAAATGTCCCAAAGAAAAGTAAACTGGTAAACAAAGGTAAGGGAAGGAAAATAAATGAGTGAAAGTGAATGTGTCTGAGATGCCCCTAGGAGATAGCAATTAAACCACAGGAAATAATGTTCTTTAATTGTGGATGAATTGCTGAGGCAATTGTCCTTATTATAATCCTAAATTTCTTTTCTCTAGTTCTGGTATAGAGATTCTTACTTTGTAACCCATGATCTCCTCTTTCTTGTCCCCAACAGAATAAGAAGAACATCCAACTGTCAGCCATACTGAACTATTTCAGTTTCTTTGACAGACCATGGTTTTATGATTTTTCTAGCTGTAGGGTTTTTTTTGCATGATGCCTAGGGCAACCACTACATGCCTGGCCTTTACTTCTCTACTTAGATAACTGTCCTACTCTTATTCATCCTCTTTTCTCAACATATAAATCATTGTTTCTGACAACTTTCTTGATACTCCATGCTCA